TGTAGCTCTATACAATTGGGAATATTTTCACTGTGATAAGACAATGGAACCATTTTCTACATGGAAAGGACAAAAATTACAAGAAGAAGTTATTTCTGATTTAAAAAAAGTGAGAAAAGTTTATTTTTTATTCTCCTGATGACTATTATATTTTTAATGATTTCTGAAATGCTATTGATTTGGATTTGCAGAAACTTTCATCAAATAAAGCTAAAATTACTGAGCTGACTTCAACCAAAGAGTCAACTAGTAAACAAATAAATCTTTTACGTCAAGAAATAGAAAATTATACAGCTCAAATAGAAGAATTGAAGCAAAGTTTGGATTATGAAATTGAGCATCGCAATATAGCTGAATCACGAGAAAATGAATTGATTGTTGAAAAAAATAATGAAAAAGAAAATCATGAAAAAGAGTTGGAAAAATTACGTAAAGAAAAGAAAGAAATCGAGAAACAAGAAGAGCAAAAGATTAATGAATTGAATGAGGTTCAATTTGCATTTATTTATTATATACCTTATATATATATATATATATATATATATAGACGTGAAGCTTTAATATTTTATAATTGACTTTGATGTCTTTATATTTTTCTTTTATTCAATTTAAACCTTCCATAGAAATTAACAGTAGCACAACAGCAAATTTTAGATCTTAATATGAATATAGAAGAACGTGATGCCGATTTACAATTTGTTAGGCAGCAGCTTAACAAACAAAGTAGTCGAACAAAAGATACAACTGAACGTTATTTGAAGGAACAAGAACGGCTCCGATCTGTATGTTTTTCTCTTTTTTTTCTTTTTTTTTTTAAATAATAAATTGATCTATTTCTTTATAATGATTTTATAATTGATTATTATGTTTTTAGGAATTGGATATAGCACGTCAAGAATCAGAACAATTAAGTACTCAATTGGAAAATCTTGGTGATGAATTGGAAAATAAGAAAAATACTATTATCGAATATGAAAATGAAGTTAAACATTTGGTACATATATACATACATGTGTATATGAATGGATGAACGTGATTTACTGACTATCATATGTTGTTATTATTATAATTATGCAAAATAGAACAATATGAAGAATAAGTTGAACGAAAAATTTTTATCAAGTGAAAATGCCCGAATAAAAGCCGAAGAACAATTTAGAAATCTTCAAATGGTATATATAATATGTGTGTGCGACTTTTATCATACAAGTTGGAAAATTAATAATAATAATAAAAATCTATTTGTTCTTCTATTTCAAATAACTATATATTATATGGTATAGGATACTCGTGATAAAGATTCTACTATCGATGAATTAAGATCCCAAGTAGCAAATCTAGAAAACAATTTATCACAGGAGAAAAAAGTAATCCTAAAATACGATACAATTAATTGATAATATTATCATATATTTAATTACTTATTATCATCATCACCATTATTGTTATTATCAGGTTACCTATTCCAATGAGACCCAGCATCGGGATCAAATTATTGAACGTAATACATTATTGATGACAGCATATCAATATTTGGATGCTTTAATGTCAGATGGAAGTAATAAACAAGTTAGTTAACTTATAATCATCACCATCATCGTCGTCATTATTATCAGAAAATGTATTTAATTTAACAATGTTATTTTTTTAAAGTCGAATTATCCTAAACCATCAACCAACTTTAAACTTTTCCATGAGCAACTTTTATCTAAACTAAAAACAATTAGTGCCGCTTATAATAATTTTGATAGTCGTGTTAAAGAAATTGTTATACGGTGGCAAGAACAATACGAGTAAGTATATTTATCTGTTATCATCAATTTTACCCTAATAATTGAAAACCTTCAATTCATTCGCAATTCTTATGAATGCATTGTCTAGATCCCTTAAAAATCAAATGGACCTTAAAATAAGCCATATAGCTAAACTTGAAAATGCTATCAACAAGATTGCAAGCAATCAAGAACATTGGAAAGAACAAGCCAGGAAAGCCCAAAATGAACTTGAAATAACAAAGGTTTTTTTCTTTGAAATATCAATCTCAATGTCAATATAATGTCAATGCACATATTTATCCTTGATATTATTCTTATTATTTAATTCAGAGTACAAACGAAGAACTTAATGATCAAATGTCAAGTCTACGTCAACAACTTGAAGAATTAAGAAATGTAAAATTACATGCCAATGAACTTGAAAATAAGCTCAAGGAAGGCGAACGGCAAATCAGAATCATTGAATCCAAATTCAAAGATGATGAAAGAAAATGGGAAATGAAACTTAAAGATTTGGAGTTCAAGGATATGCAATCCGTAGAACGATTCAAAAATGAAGCGCAAACTTCAAAGGAGAGAATTGATTCATTAAATGAAACTTTGAAGTATGTTTACACATGGAAATTTAAAATTATTATTATTATATAACAATCAGTTAATAATAGATAATTATAATTATATACAGAGATATTGAAACACAATTACAAGCTCAAATTCGTAGAAATAACCAATTACAAGAATTGAACTCTATACAAAAAGCTTCAATGGAGGTGTGTTCTTCATTTATACATTCAAAAAAAAATTTTCAGAATTATTATTAAATATTATTTCAAATTTTTTTTAAGGCAACCAATGAATCTAAAGCCATTGCAGCAAAAGCAGAGAGCACTTTTGCAATGCTTAACGAACAACTCAGAGAACAAATGGAAGAAAAAAATAAAACTATTGAAAGTGAGCGACAAAGAATTAAAAAATATGAAGAACAGGTATTTTATTTAATAATACTTTGCTTGGTTGTTTGAAGTCATGGTTTTATTAAAATTTTTAATTTTAATTATTCACTCCCTATTATTATTATTAGTTTGATGCTATAGTGGAGGAACAAAAACGTTTGCATGATCAGATTGGAAAACGTGATGTTATGATTAATAAAGCTCTCAGTGGATTACAGGTACTTTATATTTATATTCATCTATTATAAAAAGTATTAAGTAATAATTAATATTGAAACTTTTTAAAAATAAATTTTTATTTTAAAAGTTGATAAATCAAAGAAAAGATTTGATGGAGAATGCTATAGTTCGTCAATTAACAGAAGAGATGCAAACTGCTCTTATGTTAGATGGAGATAGTAATCGTCGACAGGGTTATCAGCCACCACAATTTATCAATCCACCGTGGAAACCAGCAGGATCGGGTAATGGTTTCTCTTTAATAAAAAAACCAAAATCAACAAATACCCCAGCTGCTTCAAAATCAGCTATACCTACAATATCATCTTTGAGTAAAAAAACTTCACTGTTGGGAGGGTCAAACATTGCAAAGCCTAGTGGTGGGTCCCGGTTGCCAATAAGTGATAAGGGTACTAATAACAGTAATATCGCTAATATTAACGGATCCGGTACTACATCATCTACAACAATTCCACGATTAACATCACCAACCAACAACATTGGGAAAGGCAATAAATAATTAATCGTCTATATTACTCTTAATTGTAAATTTTTTTTTATTTTAATTATTAATAAATTTAATTAATTTCCATGATTGTACATTAATGTTTCTCTATTAATTCAAAACTTTAATTTAATGACTTTTTTGTCAAGAAATTCTTATCTTTTTCTCATAAGCAATCAATGTCTATTTCAATGGCATTTCCAAATATCTTCAAGTTGAAAATTCTATATTTAATGATTTAAATTAAAAGATTCAAAATTATGTTTAACAATGTTTATTCCAATTTTTCATATCAATGGATTATTTTTTGAGTCATTTTTTCTAAATTTTATGAGTGTCAATTTTAGTATTATTTTGGATTGTATCTCAACAAAACCGTTCCTTAGTGCTTCGCCAAATTAATAGAAACATCTGATTGCCTTTCACCCCCTGGTCAGTAAGTTGGAAAAGCTTGAACATCGTTTAGAGTAGCGCGTCTCCGTTCAACTAAAGGCACGAAAATTTTCACAATCAGTATATTGATTGCTGTCGATGTAAGCTTGGATACATATATATAACGGAGCTTGTATGGATTAAGTAAACTTTCAAGAAGACCATCAGTCACTCAAGACATTGGGAGTACGTGATAAATCTCGATTTCTATCTGGTATAAGAGGAAATGGGGAATCTGAAAGCCCAATAAATCTTGATCAAGTTCCTCAGCCGAATGTGAACATGGTTAGGATAGTTAATTCGATCAATTAGCCCTTGTCAGTTGGAGAATCATTAGTTTTAAGAACATTCATTCTTCCATCATTGATAAATAAAAAGATAACAGTTTAAAGAAATAAAAACCCTTTAAATTTTTGTAATGTTGAGATTAAAGAGTCCAACTCACTTTCTCCACTAATTACTACTATATAAAATAATTAACGTTGAATGATTTGATACTGCCTGCTCTAGATCGGCTGAAAAAAAGAACCTTCGTATGTTATTTTTGCGTGAAACTGTTATATACCAATAATTTGAATATCGTTAGAATAATTGAAGCTACTAATGCTATTTCCATCAATTTAGAACACTGCATGATATTGATAATTAGGCTCCGAATAAATCGAATCGAAACCGAGTCCACATTTAATATCTAATTAGATTTCTATTGTCATTAAACACTTAAACAACACGAGTTTTACCCAAAATCTTTTATCAGAGTTTGAAGCACGTGCAGACAAGTTATTTGTGATCCGTGGAGCAACCTTTACTTAACACACAAATCAAGACTTTCGAATATGTCAAGGCTGAAGCTTTATAAAGTGCTTTTTTTCAAACGATTGTTTTTAGAAGCCCGACAATTTCTAATTGGTATATTTTTTTTTTAAACTCCTGCCTATGTTTTAACATGTAATTTATAGTTACGGTTATATGTACAATAAATTTGAGAGAAATAGCGTGTTCCAAGTAAAAAATTAAGGACTCGATCCGAATTATTGTTGCTCAACATATGCTTAAGAGCTTCATGTAATTCAGCAAACTCTTACCTACTTTCAAGAAAAGAATATTCAGTAGAAGTATCATATCCATTGATCCCAAATTGTTAGGTAGGTGTTGTTGATGTTTTGATCACAATCTTTAATACATTAAAAGGTTGAGAAACTATATTTATATTGAACTACGCATTCATTCTTCAACTGATTGTTTAACAATTGTGATGACAAACATCTAATGAAATAAATATTTTGAAATAGAATTTTGTTGGTCGATTATTATTATTATATTTATTTTGTGTTATAAAGTTTTTAGCCACAAACAAAACATGTAAAAAAATAAATTTAGAGATGAAAAACATTTTAAATAAAATTAAACATAGTGATGAATATTCAAAAGAAAGAAAAGGAAAATACGGAGAATGCCCAACCTGCAATAGATATAATACTAATTGGGCATGGTGTCAATCATGTGATCCAAAGCTATTAACTGAAGGATGGACTAGTGACAATGAAACATTAGATCAGTTGATTAAAAGTACACAGCTTAAGGCAACAATATATGATAATGAATATTATCTTCAATGGATTCCTTATAATGATTTAACAAATATTGAAAAGATAGGTGAAGGTGGTTTTGCAACTATATACAAAGCTACTTGGTTAAATGGCAATAAAAGTACAAATTATGGAAAAAGAACTAGTAAAGATAGGACTGTGGCATTAAAAAAACTACATAATTCATCATTTTCTAAAAAGTTATCACAATTTAATTATTACTTTAATAAAAATGATCATTTAAGACCTTTTGTTGATAAGAATTGGTCATCTTTATGTACTGAACGTTCAAGAACTGCTACATGGTAATATTGATTAATTGATAAAAAAAATTTTTTTTAAGAAAATATTTTTTATTGACAATATATATATTAATGAATTAATAAATAAAATGTTAGGTGGGCTACTTTAGGTTCATGTTTATATTCCACAAAAGATATTTTTGTTGCCAAAGATGAAAATAATAGATCTGCAAGTTCAAATTTTTGTCTTATGGATCCAAATTTATGGAATATAAAACCAGGTTGTTTTGGAGTTAGTGTTTAATTTCTTTTTTTTTTTTTTTTATAAAAATGAATCAATATCATATGTCTATAAGATCTGCAACTCAAAATAATATATTTTTTTTAATGTTTATTAGTCAACACATTCAAGGATTCCATCTCGTGCTGTAAAAGAAACTATTAATAATCGTAATTTACGTATTACGCATGATTCCAATGCACATAATGATGCTTCACCACCACCACCAACACCACCACCATCATCATCATCATCAAAAAAACCATCATCATCATCATCAAATCGTTTTCATGAACCATCTACCGCTGGCAATGAAACTTCTAATCAATCAAATCCTTCAAATACTGTAATTGCATTGATTGAAGCACGTTCATCTTCAACAGAATTTGGGCAATCGGGAGAACAAAATAATCTTCGAAATGGGTTTAAATATTTACCTTGTAAATCAGATAAATTATTTTCTTATACACAATATCGAAACTCTGAATTGAGACCATATGGAGTGCGACTTTCTAAAGAAGATGCAAGTCTTTCAGTATGGATTAGTGGTGATCAATTAACTACCACAACTGATCACGGGTTTTCAATGGCAAGAGCCAACTGTCCCGTAAAAGAAGGAAAGTGGTTTTACGAAGTTTTTATAGATCGTGGAGGTGAAGGAAAAGTTGATGGCAAAGATGGTGCACACGTGAGAGTTGGGTGGGCACGTAGAGAAGGTAGGAAATAATTAAAAGATTACAACTACTGTAAATCATGGTTATAATTAATAATTATTTGGTAACATATAACGATTATTAAGGTTATTAAAAAATATATAAATTTATTTGTAGGCAATAGGAATTCTCCAGTTGGATCTGATGGATATAGTTATGGAATAAGAGATCTTACAGGACAGAAGGTTCATATGTCACACGTAAAAAAATTTGGGGAACCTTTTAAAACAGGTGATGTTATTGGTATTTATATATCATTACCACCTTTGAAAAAAGTTAGTAAAGGTTATAAATATAAAGCACCTAAAAGACAAAGAATTCCTATTTTATTTAAGGGGGAAACGATATTTGAATATAAAGATTTCAAGCCAACTCGTCGAATGAATAAACTGTTAGAATTACCAGAAAAGCCAAAAAAAAAAGAATTTTGGTGGCAAAGACAACAACTAGAAGCCGCAGAAGAAGAAAAAGAAAAAAAGAAAAGACAATTATCACCAGAGCCAGAATTGCCAACATTACCAGGATCAAAGATAATAGTCTATAAAAATGGAATATGTCAAGGAATAGCATTTGAAAATTTATTTTCATTTTTTCCTATAATTGATAAATATACGGCAGATGATGATTTGATTGAAGATGACGGATCGTTGGGGTATTACCCAGCAGTTTCAATGTTTAGAGGTGGGACATGTACTTTAAATTTTGGACCTCATTTCAAATATCCACCACCTCCCAATCCCGGACTTGAATTATATAGTAATAGTAGTAGTAGTAACAATAGTAGTAGTAGCAACAGTCGCAGTAGTAGTAAAGGTAAAGAAAAATTAATATCATCAAAGAAAAAAATTGAAATATGCAAATGGAAACCGATGTCAGAAAGATACATGGAATATGTTGCAGAAGATGTAGTTTACGATATTGTAGATGAAATAGAATTATGGGATTGGATGAGAGGACAAAATAAAAACAAGGCTTCAATGGTCAATAAAAGACCATATTCAGCAATATTAGCTAACAATAATAATAATTCACAGGAATTTTCTGATGGAAATTCGAAAAAATTTAAACAGGAAAAACAAGAACCAAAGATAGAAGAAGAATATGATGACTCAAAATATTTAGCGCAAGATTGGGATCTATTTATTTAATATTGTAATAATGAAATCTATCTTTTATTAAAAAAAGATTAATATACCTTTATTTTTTTCCTTTCTCCTCTGATGATAATGATGATTATGAAGGGGGTTTGTTTGAATTTCGATAGGTAATACTATATTACTATCAAAAAAAAAAGGCAGAAAGATCTACTTTTATATTTTCTTCTTTACACACACATAAAGCCACAGGATAAATGTTACTAATGACAACAATATAACAATGTTTTAGTATCTGGTTTGCTGTGGCAGATTAAAAATTTTTTGTAAGAGTTTTTTTATTTTTTTGTTATTCTTCTAACAAATCAAAAATTCTTACATACATAAATATCTACAAATTGATAATATACTATATATATGTGAAATATGTTCATTTATTTACTTTATATTGTAAATAATAATGATAAAATTTTTAGGACCCTGGATAATTTTTGTGCTTACTTTTGTTGGTTTATTGTCTAGTAACAATATCTTTTTTAATATTAATAAGGATTCTTTTTACAAATTCTTATATGGGATATACTGCAAATAAATTTTAGGACATTTTATTATGGATAATTATTATATAGAAGTTAATATAATCGATATTCTATAAAGGATGATTTGGACAACTTTTCTCTTGAGAGTGATGAAAAGAGACTAGAGATCTAGTAAATTAAAAAACAGCATCCATAAGTGTATTATAATGCTTCAACCAATTCTGATTTAATGGGATTTTTTGTAATTAATTGCACATGTTTCATTCTAACATACCGGTTGCAACTTTTGATGATGATTGCAATACCTGGTTGCAACCGCCTTTGCGATCACTTTGTTTCTTTTTTTTTGGATTGCGACATGTAACACTTCTAACGTCAAGTTTCTCGTGCAAAAAATTACACTATTTTCAAGACCCTAAGTAATTATTGAATCTCAAGGTAGAATGGCTCACTACTCCTGAACAATTCGTTGCATGGTGGAACAAGAATTACGTAAATTGCAAAGATGAAGGCCCTTCCAGCTATAATTACCACCGGTCAGAATATGGATGTTGGAGTGTTGTTTATGAACAACATATACAACGTTTAAGTCAAAATAAAGATCTTTGCTAAAAAAGTTTATTCATTTCAAAAGAGAAAAATTAAATAAAATGCTTTTATGTGTCCTTTTTACATGTCATTTTGTAAATTGGTGGTGGCAATATTTGTCTTGCACAATGCAGATTTGTAAGATTGTCCGCCGTTTTTCTTTCCTTGATATAGAACATTTAGATATTTTCCATCAAAGCATTCCATTTGGATAAACGGTATAATGTGGATAAAACAAAAAAAAACAAACCTTTGAATTTAATCCTAACAAAACGTCCGGCCACCCGAAATCTAAGTACTATGTTATTTGATTTCTTTTATTTCTTTTCATTTTCCAATGCAGAAAATGATTTGTGCATTCGGAAATTAATTGACGTAACTTGCGTAAAACTTATAAACACGCAGCAATATTTGGAAATTTTCCTGAATCCAACTCATTGTCATTAAAGATTGTAATTCCGCTTGCATACTTGCAACATTTCCTATAACTATAAGAATTTTTACAGAAAATGTAAAAAAGATACACAAGCATTCTCTTTTACAGGATGATTCTGTAAAATTTCTTTTTGGTAAAATGGAAATGTACTAGAAAGTATTCACGGATTGATCAGATGACCAGTTATGTACTTGATGAAAAAATAAATAAATGGTAATAATAATAACACAACCTTTGGATGGCAAACATGATTTTATGATAAATTGATTACGACTGATACTCCCTTATTTTCTAATCATTTTGGTTAATTTATGAAGTAAAATTTTTATTTCCATGCTTTGGCTCTTCAACATTGACACAATTAATTTACATTTGATAATTGACTATTTGTAGCTTCATCAATAATACAATTTTACAGTTGAGACAGATTAAATAAATAGATTAAAATCTTGAACATTATATAAAACCTTTTTTTCTTTTGTCCATATCAACAGATGAATTAAAATAAATAGAATACAAATAGAATGTCTAATTTTCTAACAGACCATATTTATTCATATTTATATTAATATTAATATTGTGCATGTAGTAGAATATATAGTTTGGAAATAAATAAACAATGACAAGATTTTATATTTTTATTACTTAAGTTAATTCAATTTGTTGAGAATCTAAAAAAATATTTAATGTGGATATTAATAAATTAATATTAATATAGATTTTAAAAAAACGAAAGCAATCAATGATTAAATGTTAATAATTACCATTATTATTACCAATAACTGTCACCTTACTGGAATTCACAGGTTGGGGAAGGTTTGTAAATTTTAATAATCTGCTTGTATATATAGCATTTGGATGAATTGTTGCAGTAATTGTTGAAGGATCAAATTTTATTTCATCCATTTTATAAAATTTTTCAAATGAACTAAACCATAAATCAATAATATTAAAAATTTCTTCAGCAGTTGGACGTTTATCTGGATTAGCATCCATGCATTTGAATGCTAGTTCAATATAGAATTTTGGTGTGTTGTTTGAGAATCCAGTTCTTTCACCTTTACATATTTTCATTGCAAGATATTCATCATGTGCCAAATTATTAATACTACAGACATCAAAACTCCAAAAAAAAAAATCATTTAGATTAATTTATAAGAATCTAATTTTTATTTTTATTAAATAATTTTTTACCATTATTTTCTGAATCACTTATTGAAGCATCATTTTTTTTCTCAGGTTGTATTTCTCCTAGACCTTTTGTAATTGAATCCTTCATTGTCATCAATTGGGCTTTGACAAAGAGATCTATCTAATTGATGGTTTTCTAAACCTTTTACTTTTTTAAATCCAATAATTTCATGACAACCTTTTTCTGACCTAGTTACATCCATTGTTTACACCTATAATTGTCCTTTTCATTGTTTATTTGTAATTACTTTATTAAAAATCATTTGTATTATTAAACATATCTAGTATTTAATCACCTGTCTTAAAGTCAGATCTATCTATTTTTAAAAAAGGTGACTTGTTTTCTAAAGATTTCGACAGTGATAAACTAATTCCGTTTTTAAAGTTTTCTTCGGTATGTATTTCATGTTACACGGTATAAAATTTCACGTTCAATGTCTTCTACTACTACTGTACAAGTTGAATCTCAAGAAACTGACAATACCAACACCAACAACACCAACACCAATACCAATAAAAATACAAATAATGTCAAGGAAAATCCAGTTGATGATGTACAAACACCTCAGGAATTAGTAGCATATGTATAGAGAAAATTCGATTTCTTTATCTCTTGAGATTTTTTTAAATGATAATAATATTTTGTAATGATCTATTTTTTAGGTTGAAAATGTAGTTCAACAAATGGTATAAACATTTTTCTTAATCATATGATTTTAGATTTATAAATAATAATTCACTTTTTTCAAAATCTTAGCAATCAAATTTTGATGAATTATCAGCAAGCTTATTTTCCAAAAGTAAGGATTAAACTTTTTTTTTATAATCATTATCATGCCATAAGAATAATAACGATAATAACATCACTATTATTTAAATTGAATATTTATTAGTGGATAATATGGGATCAAGAATAGATACACTTGAAAAATCGCTTGGAGAATTGATGGAACAAATGAATAAATGATTCTTAATATATATATTTAAACCAAACATCTCATTAAATATTATATATATTTACACAAGTAATTTAAATTAAATTAAATAAAATAAATAAATAAATAAATATAAATGTAATTATGATTCTAAAATGAAATTATAATATAAATGTAATTATGATTCTAAAATGAAATTATAAGTATGATTTTAAAGTGAAATTATAAATATGATTTAAAGTGAAATTATAAATATGATTCTAAAGCGAAATTATAAATATGATTTTAAAGTGAAATTATAAATATGATTCTAAAGCGAAATTATAAATATAATAATGTCAATGTTATTGACCTCCCTCCCCGACTAATTTAAATTCAACACCGTTAATCTTTAATTTCTCATTTTTTGATTTTTTCTTTGGCAATATTTTATTATTGTTAAAATTTGATTTTGCACCAATATTATTAATAATACTGCCATCAATATTACCAACACCATCGTTGTTACCATTATTTTTGAGATCAGCAACACTAGCATTGTTAATGTCTACAGTTCCATTAACAAAATCAAGATTATTAATATTATCTTTTTCTCTTTCCATTGCCTCAATTTTCTTTGTTAATTTTCTAACACGATTTTTAACCTTGATTTTAAAAGCTGCTTCTAACAATAAATCTGGTGTCAAAAACTCATGTGGGATATGTAATAAAAACTCCAAGATTTCTGAACTTGTTGGACATTCTTTAAGGATATAATCTTGTGAACATTCCATTATTGCCAGCCCAATTCTATAGAATAAATTCACGCCCTCAAAATAAAACATATCCCAGACACGTAGTACAGATGCCCATGGTAAGGTCATGGTAAATAATGTCATGAACCATGGAGTGACATATATGAGTGGAATTACATCATTTTCTGCCTATTTGAAAAATATTTATTATTAAAGCTTATTTTGTTGACAATAATTTTTCAAAAAATATATATAAATTACCAAATGTTGTGCTAATTTAGGATAATTTTCAATTAAAAGTTGTTCAAATACGATGGAATTTATTCTAATTTGAGTCAACTTGGGTGTAAAATAGCCAACCATATACTTTTCTAAGGTTGCTACAAGTAACCAAAATGAATCTTCTACTGGCATTTGCATAAGCATCATGCCAGCCAAGCGTCCCATTCCTTGACAATACCCTATTGATGGATTATAATGTGCATATGCTTTAAGAACATCATGAAGGTCTTCTTGTCTAAAAAAAAAAAAATGTTAATATAACAAATAAACATTCGTTTATATATGATACATAAATAATAAATACCCAAAACCAGTCTCTTTTCGAAATTGAATATGGTCAGGATAACAT